AGCCTATTCACCAACAAGTTTGGAGCATTTCCATATTTTAACAAGTACAGTCATATAGATTCCTATAGAACAGTATACAAGTATCTTAGTATGAGACACGAGTATCTCCTCCTCCATTTCTCTTCCTCCAACCTCATCCCATTCCCAAATCTCAGGAAATGCAGATTTTTGACTCAGTATATATAAGAGAGAGGAGAAAACCTATAAAGATGTTTGCTATTCTCATTTTCACAGGTAGGGAGACTGAGTCTAAGACAGGACTCCCTGTCCAGTGCTCTCTCCAGGAAGCCCCAAGTGCAGCTCCTCTCAAGCTGCTGGGCCGTGACTCCTGCCGTTCTAAGACCATCCCATGATAGAGTTTTCCTCACTGTGTGTGGATGTTTTCGGAATTCTTAACACAGAGGTCCACTTAAATGGATGTCAGATTCACTAATGTGTCATCTAAAATACAACTTCCTTTGATTTTGCATCTTTTGATTCTCTCTCCAGTTGTGTTTTCATATCAAAGGGATTAAACCACTTTGCTGGACTTGAAGCTCTGTCTTTCCTGAAAGCTTTCATCATGTCTCAGCACAGCTTCCGATTCATGGTCACAGAAGAGGATTGAAGATGAAGGGCAGTAACAGGCTTGATGAGGTTTAATAGGATTTGCTCAAGTCAGTGCTTTTCCCTGCATCCTGCAGAGAGTAGCTAGGATACTTGGCTCACCTCAGCCAGCACAAAGCCTTTCTCCCTGCCTCTCTCCCTGCAGACAGTTCTGCACAAGCCCTAGGTTCAAACAGGCAATGCTAGAATATAATACAGAAGGGCTGGGTCTGCTATTATCTTCTTCACTGCTTTATGTGCAACTCCTAGCACAGGGCCGGACTATAGTAGTTCCTCAATTAATGCTTGCTGAATGGATGCATAAATAATAGAACAGATCTTGAAAAGCTGATTTTGTGTGTGTGTGTGTGTGTGTGACCGGTAAGGGGATTGGAACCCTTGGCTAGGTGTCGCCCACACCACGCTCAGCCAGTGAGCGCACCAGCCATCCCTATATAGGATCCGAACCTGCGGCTTCGGCGCTCCAGCGCCATTGTGCCCCCAGCGCTGCACTCTCCCGAGTGAGCCACGGGGCCGGCCCTTGAAAAGCTGATTAAAGAATCTCATCTCCACTGTCCCTTAAAATCCTTTTAATTTGATGGGCATACAGCACTGGAGGCCAGGGTTTCCAGGATGGGCATTTTGCTTACCCTTAGAAGAAATCTGGATAGTAGAGGCTCCACACCCATCAGTTCAGTGCCTGCCCTACAAATTGCCCACCAGGGCTTTATGTATTTGACTCAGATGCTCTGTGCCTCTCCTTCATCACCTTTAAAATGGGGCTAATTTTAAATATAAATATAAATGTTCGTGTATTCATAAACTCTCCTTGAATTGTGTTACATTTCAATTCAAGGAGAGTTTACGAATGCACGTACATTTATACTTACATTTATGTTGGTATGATATATTCTTTTCACGGATCCCTATTATGGTTCCCAGGGCTGGGTAGGCAGAGAATACTATTTGAGATTTACAGCAGAGTAAACTGAGGCAAATAAAGCTAAGACTGTTCTTCTTCAGACTGCAGAGTAGGTTTGTTGGACACTGAGCTAGAGTCCAGAACTCACCCTGGGTTGGACGAGGAGTAACTTCTGCAGATGATTCCAGCACACCTAGAGAATGAATCCCAGTGTCAAAGCAGAAGTAAACCACCTTTTCCTGTCTGCCAGACACAAAAAATGTTCAGATCTGGGCTGAGGTGTCCTAGAAAACATGTTTCTGTTTCTAGCACAGCACAAGACCTTCGCCTACAAGAACGTATGAGAGTATGTTTAAAAATAAAGAAGGAAACAGTGCAGAAAATCAGCAAAAAGCTGTTTTCCCCAAAGAGCTGAGGGCATTACAATGTGCTTTCCCAGGTGCTCCGACCAATGGCTCATTCTCGTTGGTGCTGTGCCTGTCCTGCCCAAAGTCAGTGGCTGGGGAGTCCTCAGCAGCACTCCTATCGGGACCCTGTCTGGGTTCCAACAGTTGGGGTCCCCAGGAACACACAGGGCATTGGGATCCACAGTATTTCTCGCCATCTGGGGTCTTCTCTGGGTTTTCTGTACAGTATCCTAACTAGGGGCAGAGCAGAATCCTGCTTGGGATTCTACAAAGTAGCCCCAAGCACTTCCCTCCTGGTTTCATTTATCTTCGTAACTGCCATGCGAGACAACAGGGAGCAGGTGGCTCTGTGCAGAATGGGAAATGGCCAATGGATGTCTGAGACAAATAGGCCTTCAAATGACCCTTCAATATGATATTTTAAGGGTTACCTGGACATTGCCGCAACCAACCAGGCAGCAAAGGAGAAGGTCTGCAGGATCGCCTGACCCTCCAGGGTGGGTGAAAACTTCCTTGGTTCACCAATAAGACAGTTGGCTCAATGGTTTATAGAATATTCACCAGGTCATTCTATCAGAGACACAGTTTCCTGTGCTCTGTCTGGCCAAACCTACAGCCAGAGTCATCCCAAAAGGGGCATCAGGGGAATTCCTGTAAGGGACTGCCCCAAACCATCCTGAGATGGGGCAGGTTGCAATTCCAAAGAAGGAATTATTCAACACCAAGATGATCAGTCCAAAGCACTTATTAGGGGAACTTATGTACAGAGGGATACAGCAGTCCTCATGAGGCACAGCGAGGAAAAAGAGACGTTCTGCCCAGGTGTGTCGGCAACGAGGGTGGTGGGGTATGGAGTTCATATGGGGATTAACGGAATTTGGCTTAAAGCTGGGGCTGGTTTCTACGTGTTGAGCAACATGTTTGATCTTTCAGTGTTTGGGGCAATAACCTAAACACATTTATCAGTGTCTGGGAATGTTCAAAGCCCGGCTTGTGTTCAAGGCTGCAGGGGAATACAAGCAGCTGGCTAGGTCCAGGCACTCTGTTTCTCAGGACAGAGAAGGCAAGCAGGAGGAACTGGGGACCCTGCAGCCAAGGAGAAGAGCGAACTGGGGACCCTGCAGCCGAGGAGAAGAGCACCTGTGACATCAAGGAAAGCTTGCTTATAAAGATGAAGAAGGGCTGGACGATAGTACCCCTCAGGTGACTTCTCCTGGGTCAGAAGCTCCTAAAACTTTCTGGAGGGAGCAGTTCATTGGTCTAAGCATGAGCCAAAGAACACCGATGTCTGTGAGCCATTGTGTACCAAGTGCTGTGGTTCAGCCCTCAGGCTAGAGCCAGATAAGCCTAAATCCAAAACCTGATTTAGCCACGTGCTACCAGAGCTTCATTTTCCTCATCTACAAAATGGAGGAATAATATCAGTACTTGACTC